CTCCTCCTGATTCCTGACTCCAGGGCCAGTACTCTATCTACAGCACCACCTTCTAGGTGCCCAAAATATCTAGCACTTCTTAGTACATAGCTCTCTATGATTCTATCACTTCCCTCATACCAAAAGTTTTAGTGACTCCTCATTGTCTCCAGAATAAAATCTGATCTCTTTATCCTGGAAGTCAAAGCCAATTATAATTTGGTCCCAAGTAACAATTCCTTTCATGTATTCTACATCAAGCTGGGCTAGTTAAATTTATGTGAGTATACATAAACCTTGGGGTCTTTGTTCAAGTTTGTTGTTCTGCCTAGAATGCCCTTTCTTCCCTCTCCATTTCCACTTGTCCATTCTTGAGTTCTGAAATAACAGCACCTCCCACACCACACCTCAATTTTAGTCAATTCTCCAAAACCATCATCCAGTGGAACAATAGTTAATAAGCAAGGATTTGTTTAGTGCTTATCATGTTCAGGGACTGCACTGAGTGTGAAGATATGAAGAAATGCAAAAACACTGTCCTTGCCCTCAAGGAGTTCATTTTTTAAAAAATGAGTTTTTATTGATATTTTCTGTTTCTTACATCATCATAATTACCCCAAATATCCCTCCTTTCTTTTCCTCCCTAAGAGGCATCCCATAATAATATTTTTTTTGCTGCTTTTTTTTGGTGAGGCAATTGGGGTTAAGTGACTTGCCCAGGGTCACACAGCTAGTGAGTGTTATATGACTGAGACTGGATTTGAACTGAGGTCCTCCTGACTCCAAGGCCAGAGCTCTATTCACTACGCCACCTAGCTGCCCCAACAAATAATAGTTTTTAGAAAGAAAAAAAAAGGAGCCCATATTTTAATGTTGGACACAACATGCAAACAAGTACATATATGATATATATAGATATGTATGTAGTATAAATGGCAGGTTATATCACAGAGAAGGAACTGGCAGTAGACTTGGGAGTTAGGGAAGGGACAGGGACACTGGAAAAGGTCTCTTGTAGCAGGTGGCATTTGAGCTGAGACTTGAAAAAAGGAAGGGAAGCCAGGGGTCAAAGACAAGGAAAGAGAGCTGGTAAGTGAGGACAGCCAGTGAAAAAGCAGAGTCAGGAAATGAGTGTTAAGTGTGAGGGACAGTAAGACTGCCAATGCCAGGGCAGGTAGGTGGTACAGTAGATAGAGCACCAGCCCTGGAGTCAGGAGGACCTGAGTTCAAATCCGGCCTCAGACTCTTGACACACCAGCTGTGTGACCCTGGGCAAGTCACCTGACCCCACTGCCTAGCCCCCCCCCCAAAAAAAAGAATGCCAATGTCACTGGATCATAGAGTAGGTGAAGAAGAGTAAAATTTTAAAAGACTAGAAAGGACCAAGTTGTGAAGGGCTTCAAAAGCCAAGTAGAAGATTTAATATCTTATCCTAGAGGTAATGGGGAGTCAATAGAATGGAGTTATACAACCAGACCCAAACTTTAGGAAGATCACTTTGGCAGTTGAATGGAGAATGGGTTAGAGTAGGGAGAGACAAGGTAGGGATAACAACTAGGTGTGAGGTACACCAGGATGATGGCTGTGTAAGCAGAGACAGGGAGATATATATACAAGAGATGTTGTAAAAGTAGAAACAACTTTACGAGAGATTGAATGTGTGTAGCTGTTATGAAAAAGGGCCCACCACCAACACAAACTGTGGAACCATCACCATGAACAGGACTGTCGAGCCAACCTAGTTGAAGCAAGATGAGATTAAGTAAGTGACTTCTAATGGTTCCCTATAGTCTAGGATTCTACCATTAGAAAATATTACTTAAAAGAACTGAAACAGTAAATTCACTTGTCCTTCATGCAGTTTTATTATAATTGAGCAAGAAAACAAAGTTGTCAACATGAGCAACAAGATAATTCAGTAACAGAGGCTTTCCATTCATTCACGGAGTTTTGGAACTTTTGTTGGAGGAAGAAGCAGCCTCAGAATCCTCTTTTGATACTTCATCAGCACATATGGAGGTAGCCTCTGACTCTTAATAGGTCCTACCAAGCTAAAAGGATTAGACTATAGGCCCAGAAGCAGACTGTGTCTGGGTAGTGCAAGCTATAATTTGGAGCTAGCTAAATGCAGAAAGGCTCATTAAGAAAGGTTACTAATTTACTAATCATTAATTAATCATTACTTTCTGACCACCAGGTAATTATTTTCAACAAAGCAACTCATGAACACAATCTAAGACCACAATCTTCATGTGGAGAGAAGATTAATAGTAATGAAAGAAATCATAAATTCTTGAAATACTGAAATAAATATGGAGAGGGAGAGGAGAGGGAGGAAGAGGAGGAGAGGAAGAGAAAAGGGGAAAGAAAATGAGAGGAACAGAGATGGAAGGAGGAATGGAAGTAGAAAGAGAGAAAAGTAGGTAAGTAGGGAGAGAAAGGAGAAAGAAGAGAGAGATGGAAAGGAGGAGCAGGGGGAAGAAAGAGAATGAAGGGGGAAAAGAGAGTCATAGAGAGGGGGGATGAGAAAGGGTGAAGGAAGAGGGAAGAAAGTGAGGAAGGGAGAAGGGAGAAAGATAAAAGAGGGGGACAGAGATGGGAGGGAAAAGACAAACAGAAAGAGAGATGGAGAGAGGGGGGATGGGGGAGAAATAGACAGGGAGAGAAAGAGGTGGAGAGAGAAGACAGAAGCATCTAAAGTACACCAAGTAGAAAGAAAGGAGGCCCATGAAGGAGGCATCACAATTGTGAGGGTATTGAGATATGTAGGTTCTCAAGATATCTAGGAGAGGGGAGAATACTAAAGGCACTGAAAAAAAACCCCTCATATTATAATTGCCTTATAATTACCCAAAAAAAGTGTCAAAGAAAATATAAACTATTGACCTATATGCCTGCCTGCTTTCTCATTTACATAAAATTTTTATGTATTGACATCCTTCATGAGACAGTAGAAAGAAATAGACAGGCTTTCACAACTGATATTCCAAAGTAGGCCACATCTTTACCATCATAAGATTAACTGAAAGATACAGAGAATATACAATGCCATTGTGTTTACTGTTTGTTGACTTAAAAAAAAATTCAATATGGCAAAGCAAAATGCCACCTTACAAGTTCTCTTCCAATAAGGCGTCTCCTATGCGAACGTCAACAATTTATGGTTCCTTGAAAAATATAACAGCCCCATTAAACAACCTTCTGATTATTAATGTCAGGCAAAGCATAAAACAAGGAGCCAAATGCTCACAAAAGATTTCACATCCTAACGGAGGAGATCCAGCATAGAAACTAAGTTGAAGAGGGTAACACCAAAGACTTCACCATTTTCCAGATGCTTCTGTTTGAAAATGACAATGTACTAATTTCATCAAGTCCTGGAACACTGTAGTACCTCCTAAATGAAATCAATGATCACTCTCACTCTAAAGAGTTTGGTCTAAAAACTTCTAAGAAAAACAGAGTAGGGGCTTCTAGGTGGAGCAGTGGATAAAACACTGGCCCTGGAGTCAGGAGGACCTGAGTTCAAATCCAGCCTCAGACACATGATACTCACTAGCTGTGTGACCCTGAGCAAGTCACTTACCCCCAATTGCCTCAAAAAAAAAAAAGCAGAGTGAATGAAGGGTGCCTATCCTCCAGATTCTAAGAGGCAGTTAGATGAACAACCTAGAAAGCTCGTCTACCACATACATATACTCATATATGTAGGGATGTATACACACACACAAACACAAATATATATATAGATATATAGATATATATATATAGATATATATATATATAGATATATAGATATATATATAGATATATATATATATATACACACACACACACACATATGTATGTATACATATTTGGACAAACCCTAAAAATAAACAATTAGGCCCAAAATTGAATAAAAGGAATAAAGTGCATTGGATTACAATGTTATTTTAATGAACAAATTTTCCCTGAAACAAACAAACCCTAAAAATAAACAATTAGGCCCAAAATTGAATAAAAGGAATAAAGTGCATTGGATTACAATGTTATTTTAATGAACAAATTTTCCCTGAAACAAAGATCCATGTTTTTAATACCAATATTCTACTGGTAATATCATAAGACTAGAAGTCATGCAACACTAATCTAAAGAATTGAAAAATGATTATCATCCAGATAGCAGTGGAGAGGCACATGGCAGGGGTCATTAGGCATTCTTTTAAAAAAAAAAAAGGGAATTACAAAGGAGACCTACAAGAAAAAAAAATGTATGAACAAAAAAGATAGGCTGATCATCTGGTGAGAAGGATAACCAGTGAATAGCCTGTGTTGTGTGTTCACCAGTATTAGCAAAAGATCAAGAGTGATGAAACATTTTCTGGTAAGACACATATAGGAGTTGTCCAGGATGAGTAGTCACAGAGAGCTTGCAATTGGCATCACTGGAGTAACTGACCACGTTGATGAGATCACAGATCCATTTTGAGTAGCAACTATTTCAGAGTTCCAGAAAGCTATGTTTTTGGTCACTTAGAGCTATAACATTATATGATCTACATTCTAACACTGTATGTGCTAAGGTCTCTTCAAGCTTTAACATTTTTGATTCTTCATTCAAGAATATATTGAAGGTCTTTGAGATCTTCAAAGGTAAATATAATATAAATATGGGTGATACATTATTATTTTTCAAGAAATTTTTTTGGGGGGAAATGGTTTTTACAGATGATTTATTCCAAATTTCATCTATACTGGACAAGTATTCATTAATCAAGCCCCATGTACCAGATTAATATGCATATCTTTTAATACCCAATTTTGTGAATCACTCTGGTTAGGTGCCATGTTATTCATTAATAGAAAATATGATTATTAGATTACTTGATATGTAAATCACACTTACACTATCAACTTTTTAAATGTTTTAAATAAGCTGGAAAGCAATTATTTTTTTTCAATCTTAAGAATTTAACTTACCTGACATAAGATATTATAAAGTACTGATGATGAAAAGCAAATTATATAAAAATACTTACCGGTTTTCTTTTTTCTTATTCTTCAGTGGGTCAATTAGGCGGAGAGTATCTCTGATTACTGCTACTTTTACTTCTTCATCGACAAGACTTGGGACATTTTCAAACACCCCTGGAGAAAGCTTGAATTACAAAGGATTCTATGTTACAGTGAAGATAGTTTTTTCAGTGCTAAATGCATACTTCTCTTCATTGTTTGCATTAGCTTAAGCCGTGTTCTTGCCTATTAAGTCATGAAAATGTTGAGGTATAGAATACAATTTTAAGAAATATCATTGACTCAGTCTTAGAGATGACAACCCTTTCATACAAAATAACTGACTTTTTAGAACTTTATGATAACAAAGCATTTATGTGTGTGTGTGTGTGTATAAAACCTCATTTTATCTTCATGACAACTTAGTGATGTATGTCATCTAAGTATTATTATCCTCAGTTTAGGAAGTGGGGAAACTAAGTTAAACAAGATACCCCTAAGTTACAGAACTAGTAAATGGCAGGCAGAATGTCAATTTTCCTTCTACACATCACACACAATGAACGTGGGGGTGTTATTACACACACACACACACACACACACACACACACACACACACACACACACACGATTTGGCAAGAATTTACTCTTATTTTTTATACCTGTAATGGTATAATGGTATAGTCTGAAGATTTAGGTTAAAGTCCTGCATCTCATTTACTAGCTGTGCAACTATGGATGTCTTGTTTTGCCACTCTGAGCCCTACTTTTCCTACCACTAAATGGGTGATAATAAGACTTAGACTATCTATTGACCTCACAAGAAACGCACTCTCCCTTTCCTTACCAGGGGAGGCAGTTGTGAGAGACTAGAAAGAGATCTAGATCTGAAGGAAGAGGATGTGACTTCAAATCTTAGCTTTGTCATTCCTTTGCAATATAGCCTTGACCCAATCACATTACCTGTTAGTCTCAGCCTCACATGATAAAATGGAAATAACAATACTTATGCTACCTCCCCTCCCCACCATAGGGTTCTCTCGTTTTCTTATTAATTTATTTTGACTTATCAACAATCACTTCCATAAGCTTTTGAGTTTTAAATTTTTCTCCTCCTCCTTCCCCAAGATGGCGTACCATCTGATACAGGCTATACATACACATTCCTATTAAACATATTTTCACATTAGTCATGTTGTAAGGAAGAATTAGAACCAATAGGAGGAACCACAAGAGAGAGGAAACAAAACAGAAGAAAAAAAATAACGAATAGTATGCTTCAATCTGCATTCAAACTCCATAGTTCTTTCTCTGGATGTGGATAGCATTTTCCATCATGAGAATTTTGGAAATGTCTTAGATCCTTGCATTGCTGAGAGGGGCTAAGTCTATTAAAGTTAGTCATCAAACAACGTGGCTGTTACTGTGTACAACATTCTCCTGGTTCTGCTCATTTCACTCAGAATCAGTCCATACAAGTCTTTCCAGGTTTTTCTGAAGTCAGCCTGCTCATCATTTCTTATAACACAATAGTATGCCATTACATTCATATGCCACTACTTGTTCAGCCATTCCCCAATTGATAGGCATCCTCTCAATTTCCAATTCTTTGTCACCACAAAAAGAGATCCTATAAATATTTTTGCATATGTGGGTCCTTTTCCCATTTGTATGATCTCTTTGGGATACAGCCCTAGAAGTGCTGTTGCTGGGTACGCACATTTTTATAGCCCTTTGGGCATAGTTCCAAATTGCTCTCCAAAATGGCTGGATCATTTCACAACTCCACCAACAATGTATTAGTGTTCCAATTTTCCCACATCATCTCCAACATTTATCATTTTCCTGTTTTGTCATGTCGGTCAATCTGATAGGTGTAATGTGGTACCTCACAGTTGTTTTGATTTGCATTTCTCTAATCAATAGTGATTTAGAGCATTTTTTCATATCATAGTGTTCTCTTAAAGATCAGATGATAGATTATATTAAAAAATCCTTTGTAAATCATAAATGAGAGAGAGAAAATAATATAGTGCATAGAGAGCTGGTCTCAGAGTCAGAGTGACTTGAGTTCAAGCCCCAACTTTTATACATACACACATAAACATATAAATATATAAATATAGTATATATAAATATATGGGGATATTTATATGGTCTTATTTTTATATATATGCACATATGTAATGAGGATATACATATATATGATGAGGAGATATATATAAACACATATGTATATATGTGTGCACATGTGCACGTACACACACACACACACACACACACACACACACACACACACACAGGCTAGGTGACCCAGGATAAGTCACTGAATCTCTCAGTCTCCCTTAGCAACTCTCTAATGCTATAAGTTTTGAAGTAGTTGCTGATCTGCAGCAGGAGATGGAGTTTCCTTGCCAGAAGTTCCTTCACCAATGAAATCACAAGTCTAGATTTTAAAAAATCATGAACAGTTTATGTAGGCTATTTTATTAAAAGAATGATGACCAAAAGAATTTATGAGAATTTTTTAAAAAGACAATCATTCTTTACATTTTTGATCCAGACACGTCAACAAGATTAAATCACATCGTAATTTCAGTTAGATGGTCTCTTGGGTAATCACTAATTAGTACATGTCAAATTTGATGGAAAAGGCTAGCCATATTTCTAGGTTTCAAGACCATAAAAATATGAAAGACTGGCATGTGGATTTTTCCACATGACATTCCAAGTTCAACAAGATCGAAAATATCCAGACTTGAAACAACATTAATAACTAGTATATTTCTAGATGCTTTATCTTTTTAAAAATGTTAATGAAATATCAAAAGATCTAGATCAGATCTCAAGCAAGTTGGGTTCTCCCCTCCCCTCCTCACCCCAGGGAGAAGTGATAGGAGGACTTGCACAAAGGTAGCACAGGCTAGCTAGGCTTGAATGGGTCACAATCAGCATCACTGGAAGAAATACCTACATTAATATATCACAAATCCATCAGATTGTTGATATAAAACATCCTCTAAAATAGTATGGAAGTGACTCTGGATTTTGGAAGGCTATTGCATGAACCCACAACTCATCAGGAATGGCTGAATCAGCAAGCCCCAGATGAGACCATGAAGGGTATCAGCACTAGCAGGGAAGGTCATGCATGCCCTTGGAACAAAAAGGCCTAATTGTCCAGGAAGCAGCTTGGATTTAGAAAAAAATACAAACTCTTTTGCCTTCCTTGAATTTTAGCTCTCTAATTTTCTACAAATTTGCTCAGCTTTGCACTCAAATCAACAACTAACTCACTCACTCTGCTCAGGCCCCGAGATTTCACTGTCCTACAGCCTTGCCTCTGGTCTCCGGCCTTTCTCGTCCCATTTCCCTGGCAAAAGCTATCTTTCTGTCCTTCTCCCTACTCCAAATATTTCCCTAATTACTGGGATATTCTGGCCCTTCATCAGGGAATACATAAGCCAAATTTGAAACTCTTTGAGTTTAGACTTAGCAATGTACTACATGTCCATCTGTCTTCTAAGAACCAGCCTAGTTAAACCAGAAGAGGCACAACTATTAAAGGATGGTTCTTTTTTTGGCCATAGAAACTCATGAAGATCCTTTCTTAAGAAAAGGTAATAATCTGACCTCTTTTGAGGGAGAGAGGCCCCAGATAGACAAAACAATGGATTTTTTGAAGCATTAACCTTGAAAATATTTATAACATAGAAGATGATGAGGAGAGAGAGAGAGAGAGAGAGAGAGAGAGAGAGAGAGAGAGAGAGAGAGAGAGAGAGAGAGAGAGAGATGTTTTACCTCTTGTTCATGTTCTATTCTCATGCTGGGGTTTGCATTTACTTCTAGCAACATAGGCTTCAAATTTTTCATTAGAAGAATGTCAAATCCTAAAATCTGAGAATGAGAAATAGAATACTGAGTCACCTCTATGATCCAAGGTCTTCTTTCAGGTACTACAATTCACTATTGTAGACAATACTACATTCACTATGATTGCCTGAATGTATAAAGCATTTTTATAAATTCTTCCACACATTATCCTGTTTTAGGGAGATTATGGAAATATTCTAATATCCAATTTACAAATGTGGAAACTAGAGAAGTGAGGGGACTTACCCTAAATTCATACAGGTGTTCACAGATGAAAAATGGAGGCCCACAGAAGTAAAGTGATTTGAAAAGTTGTACAATTAAGTACTACTTAAAGCAAATACTGCTGTCCCCCATTTTAAAAACTAAGGGTGATCACAGAGGTTAAATGATTTGTCTGCAATGAAGTGACTACTGAGTGGGAGAACTAGGAATAGAATCCAGGTTTTCTGATTCCAAGTATAGTGCTTTTTTTTTTTTAACCATTTTCCAATTCCAGATCGATCTATTCTTTCTGAAATGGAAATTCAGATGGATATTTTGTGGAAGGTTTCTTCGTCTTTCTCCCAAGTTATAGAAAGTCTGTGGAAAATGATCAGTATTACAGGCTTGTTTAATAATACATGGTCAAAGAACAAGAATGATTATGCTTCTAAGACAAGGCAGTAATATCATCTATCTAACTTTAGACCTGGCCTGGGAAATGAGATGCTCATGACAGGACAAGGACTGATGAGCAGGAGAGGCCAATGTTTATCATTCTTAATCATCAAGTGCTAAGTTTCCCAGCCTTCAAATATGATACACGCTTCCTGCTTTCAAGTCTGATGGAACAGTTCTAGTACATCTGATATGTAAGGTAAGCACTAGCAAATGAAACATCACAGGAAGGTAAAGGTCACTGTAAGTATACCGGCCAAGACTGGATGACCATTCATCAATATGAGGCTTTATCTACTGCTCAGGTAAAATCACTTCCTCTTTCTGGGTCTCTCTTTACTCATCTGTAAAGGAAGAGCTTCTAAGGTCCTTTCCAGTTCTGACATTCAATTATGTTTCAAGTAAATGGACACCTGTCAGAGTGAACCTCAATAACAAATTTTAGCTTTACCCTTACCGTAAACATTTCTTTAGCTGTCTAGATCCTAGTTTCTTCTTCCATGAAAGGAGGGGATACGGTTAGGTGATTTCTTTGGCTCTTTCCAGATCCAATATTCTATTTTCTGTGTTCTAACATTCCATAGTCTATTTCCTATGTTCTAAGATCTCTTCCAGCTCCAGAATTTTTATGCTTTAAAGTTTCTAACAAGAGGAACCTTCTCAGTTGTGATTCTGTACCAGTGATTTAAAGGCTTACCTGGAAGCATGTTGGCCCAGGCCTTCCTGCTGGTATATCAGATTGATAGAATACTTTGAGCTCTGGTGTTAGTGCAATAACTGTCTTAATGACCAAAGAAATAATGTCTGACCAGATTTTCTTGATGTCAACTCCTTTGGAAGAAAGTCTGCAAAGGATGCTGGAGAAAGTCCTTTTGCTGCCAGTATTGGCATTGTCAGAATGAATGAAGTTTCCACTGTGGATATTCAATGAATAGTTAGTTAAGTGCATAAATACATGATGTAAATTTCCGAAGTTAGGCTCCTGATATGGCTCTGTACAAAATCTAGAGAGTCCATCTTTGGCTATATAAATCTCTAAGGGTTCTAAAGACTTTAGTAAGACGTACAGACGAATATCAAATTTCAGTTTGTCAATGAGGAGAGGTTTACAGATGTATTCCTGGACAACAGCTGGCCTGCTCTGAAGGTTTCCTGCCATTCGAATGTCACTGGGGTCTTTAATGAGGTAGATTCCATCACCTTGACAACCACCATCAGGCTTTACAATGAAAGTGGGCTTCCAGGAGGGGTCACCATCTTTCACCATTCGAACCTGAAAGGAACAAAGAGGAAAAACAAGGGAGGTTAATATTGAAAACTATTTCCTTGGCTTATTCAGCAAGCTAATCAAGAAGAGGACGACCAGAATGGTGATGGGACACCAAACTATGTCATATGAGGACTACTGAGGAAACCGATCACAAGAAGCAGCGATGTATAATGGAAAGGGCAATGCAAAGGGGCGAGTCTGAGTCCCAGCTCTGACTTTGTTACGTGATCTCAGATAAGACTCTTCAGCTCTCTGGGCCTTAGATTCCTCATCTGTACAACAGGGGATTAGTAACAGTTAGACAAGCTAGCTCACCAATCTGTCGTCAAAGTCAGATGAGATGAGAGTTGGAACTCACTTTTGTCAACTTTAAAGCACTATACAAATAGCAGTTATTCTTCAATACTTCAAGCATCTATGATAGCATCAATGTGGATACCTCCTCCAGGGGTACAGATCCTAATACTTTCAGAAAGTGACTTCATGATTTGCTGTGACCAGAAAATTCATACCCTGTGCAAACCTGGTCATGAGCATCCTCACACTTAGAAAGGTAGGACATATAGTCCTTCACCAGGCTGGTCCTTAAAGCCTTTCCAACTTAATAAAAGCTGCCTTAAATCCTCAAAATGGAGCCTTAGTGAAGGCAGCCATTATCTGTAGCCTAGAGAAGAAAAGACAGAGGGGCATGACAGCTGTCTTCAGATATCTAAAAAGCTGTTGCAGAGAGGAGTGATTATACTTGTCTTGTGTATCTTCAGAGGGAGGAATTAAAACCAATGGGTAGAAAATATAGGGAGGAAGATTTCACTTCAATACAGGACAGAAACTTGTAATAATGATTTTAGAGCAGCAGTGAGAGTGATACGAGTTTTTAAGAAGGGAATGAGAATATAACATTGATATATTAGAAAGACTACTCTGATAGTGCAGGATTAGGGAAGAGAGAAAAAGCAGAAATGGAGAAACCAATTAAGAGGTTTTACAGTAATTAAACAATTGTAAGTGATTTTGCAATCATTATCTTGATCTCACAAAACCTCGATGAGGTAGATGGTACTAAGAGTACCACCTTCATTTAACAGATGGAGAGACTGAGGCTCAAAGAGGGAAGTCACTTGATTAGTGTCACAAAGCTAATAAGCAGAGGTGGGAGTATAATCTGGGCCCTTATGGCCAGAAAAGACGTATCTCTCAATGTGAGAACTCAACTAGCTTTCAGTTTTCAAAGATCCTAACTTTCTATCAGCTTATCCCCTTCTACCTCATTTCTCCTAAGCCTGTTCTTCCTCCTTACCCTGACTGCTCCAGTCCTGTCACCCCTTCCTTATTCTCCCAGTCTATTGCCCCTGCTCTGGTCTCACCTTCTTCCTTTCAGAGTCTTAGATACTTATCAAGACAAATGATTCATCAGTTTAATAATAAACTATCCTCTACCTTTGAATTCCTTGCCCTCTTATCACTGTCATTCAGTTCTAACAAAACCCAAACTCTAGGTTATCCCCACCATCCAACTCTTCTATTTTGACTTGCATGTGCCAGTGAACACTGCTGAAGTAAGTCAGGCAAACATGATGAGTTCACTACAAATTTATGACATCTGATCTCAACTAGGCCCTCCCAGCTACATAGTAAGTCTTTTATTTTTCACTGACTGACTTTCTATCACACTCCCCAGAAAAGGAATTACAAATCTTCCCTTCCATCTTCAGGCGTCACCTAGTTCACTCCTCCTCTCTTTCCCTCAAAGAACTTCCCCCCTCTCTCACTTTTATGGAAAAAATCAAGGCCACCCATCTGTTTTGAGCTACACTTTCTCCTTTACTTCATATGTCAAAACTCCTTCACATCTGCCCCCTTTTCTCCTCCTTTGCTCCATTTTCTGATGAAGTATTCCTTCTTCTTGCCAAGACCAATCTCTATTTGTGTTCTTGCTCTTGTCTCCTCTGGGGCCTCAACTCCCCAAAGACATCTCCATCCCCTCCCACCCCTCAGTCCCAGTCTGTCTTCATTCTTTCTTTATCCACTGGTTTCTTCCTTGCTTCCTACAAACATGTCAGAAGGTATCTCTCATCCTTAAAAAAATAATAACAATAACATATCTAGGATAAACAACTTTGAAAGCTATAAAAACTCTGATCAATGCAAAACCAATTCATGATTTCAAAAGACCAGTGGTGAAGTATGCTATCCACCACCTGTGATGGATTCAAGTGTAGAATGTGAAACACATTTTTAAAAACACAGCCAATGAGAGAATTTGTTTTGCTTGACTATGCATATTTGTTACAATGAATTTGTTTTTCTTTATTTTTCCCCCAGTGGGGTTGATGGTGAGTGGAACATAAAATAGATTTCTGTTAACTCAAAAATAATTTTTAGGAGCAGCTAGGTGGCACAGAGGATAGAGCATCAGCCTTCAGGTCAGGAAGACCTGAGTTCCAATCCAGCCTCAGACCAAACACTTGACACTTATTAGCTGTGTGAGCCTAGGCAAGTCACGTAACCCCAATTACCTAAATAATAATAATAATAATAATTTTCAAAAATCTACCATATATTCAAGCTATTTGTTCTATATCTCTTATCCCTTCCACATCCAAATTCCCAGAAAGGGTTGTTGATTCTACCTCTTGTGTGTGGTTTGTCCTTCATTCTCAAAGAGGACCATGACATCAGAGAGATGATGACATGACTTGCAATTGACTTTGATTTGAGTGAGGGAGGGCTGAGCAAGGTTACCAGCCTCACTTTCTCCTCCAGAGCCATCTGAGTCCAGTAGCCAGATATCCATAAGAATAATCGGAGATGGCCCAGGATGCAATGGGAGACCTTGGCCTTTTTAAGCTAAGGTCTTTTCAGGTTCTCACTTTGAGTGAGGCAATGCCTATTCAGTGAATAGGCCTCTTTAAGCAGTGAGTCAAGGGATGGCCCCTTTAATTTAAAAAAAAAATCAAACTGGGAGGAGAAGACCCTCAGGGTTGCTAGCCAAAAGAGAAACATTACTATTTACATTCACTCTGAGCCAGGAGGGCCCAAAAAACAACCATTAAGTGGTGCTAGACTCTACCTCTACCGTATCTTGTACATTCTTTCTCTCTGCTCATACCACCACTATCCTAATTCAGGCTTTCATCAAATCATCCTTTGCCTGCAACTACTAGAGTAGCCTTCTGCTTGGTTTCCCCAATCTCAGTCTCTCCCCTCTCCAACCCATCCTTGATACAGCTGCCAAATTAACTTCCCTAAATTGCAGGTCTGACTATGTTACTTTGCTGTTCAAAAATCTTCAGTGGTTCTCTATTTCCTCCAGGATAAAACAGAAAATCCTCAGCCTGGCAGTTAAAGCCTTCTGCAATATGGCTTTCCAGATATTTCCAGATATTTCATGGTACTTCTCTTTGTACATTCTTCTTCATTCCAGACAAACTGGTGAACTAATTGTTTTGTCCATTTCCTATCTCTGAGCCATTGCAGATGCCAGGACTGGCCTCCTTCCTCACCTTCACCTCTCAGAGTAGCAGCTGCCTTCCTTCAATGCTCAGTTTTGGTGTCACTTCATACACAAAACTTTTCCTGATACACATCCTTTTTAGGGCTCTTTCTCCTGAAATTGTCTCGTTTCTAATGATCTATCTATCTATTACTCTAAGAAGATATTTGCTCCTTGAGGACAGGAACTATTACGTTTTAGTTATCGTTATCTGTGGGGCCTAGAACTCAGTAAGCACTTCAATTGTTGTTGTTGTTCAATTCACTGTGAGAGTTCCATGTGGCACCTCCACACTCTGGATTTTACTTCTTTCCCCACTGTGTTTCTAAGTGAATCTTCTGCCAATTCCTTAGGCACTATCAGTTACCTCCAGCTTGTAAAAGAGCATTAACAAAGAAGAAACATTTAAGGCTTTAATACTGCCTCACATCAATTGTTTCTCCTTGTCAGCAAGATTCTAGAATGTAGCATCACAAGAAATCAATTTCATTCTGCAAGGTACCTCAACAGGGCAGCCTTTCTTAGAATTATGACCTTGATGCTGGGTAGTTATTTAATATGCATCTAATGCATTAGTACATTTGGCATCTTGCAGTAAACAACAAGTGTACCACACAAATGACAATTATAGATCAGAAAATGAAAAATGCCAAGTTTGCACTGATGGCTGATTCTCCTCACTGAGGGCTTTGTTAGGCTGAAGATGCTAACGGCTCAATACATTACTGAAAGCAATATTTTCTCCTTTGAATGCAGTAGATATGTCTCAAATAAATTAGACTTCATGGTCAATAGTCTCAGCCATTTTGTGTAACTGAATATTTCTTGTGCTCTTACCCTAAAAAGAAATAACACAGTAGACAAAGCACTAGACCAGAAGCTAGAAAATCTGAGTTTTACTCACTAAATGTCTGTGTGACCTTGGCAAGTTCTCTCTTCTCTCTGGACCCAAGTTTCCTCATTTGTAAAATGAAGAATTTGGGTACTAGGAAATGACTGAGATAGCAAAATCAAAAGGCATCAATAAAATATTAAAAATAAATGAAAGCGTTGGACTAGATAATTTGCAAGATCCCTCACAGTTCTGATAGTCTCTATTCTAAGTTTCCTCCTGACTGTAACATCCTATGCTCTAAGTTCCCTTTCAACCCTAATATTCTAGGGTTCTAATCCTATCTACCCTCATAGGGTTGTGGGAAGGAAGGTGTTTTATAAGTTTTTTTATGTGCTATATTAGGTTCCTCCTAACTCTTAATAGTCTATGACTAAATGTTATGTCCATTAAGTCCTATACAAATGCCATGAAAATAACTTTAAAGTTTCAATTATTCTGATTGGCATGGGAAATTAGTTTCAAATATGATACAGAATCGGTTTCAGAAACCAATGAGCTTCATACTTTTTAGTTTAGTAACTGATTGCTTACAAATTTTCAGAATCCCAGCATTAAAAAGGACCTTCAAAGTAGTGTGGTTAGACCTCCTAATGAAAGGGTGAATTCTCTCAACAA